GGATCAAGAAGCCACGTTTCTCAACGACATTGCAGATTTTGACGCGTTCAACAAGATGCTGGCGACGGTCAAGAGCGAGGACTCGGAGGCCACCGTGCCCAGTGACCGCGACGGTATTTTCGAGCTCATTCGCGCCGAGACCTCCTTTGTGGCGGTCGACCGGCTCATTTTTTCGACCTTGTCGTCGTGGATCCGGACGACGCTCGAGGCATCGATCGCAGCGACGTCGTCGCTCGTCGAGAAGGCCAAGCGGTGGCGGCAGCTCGGTCTTATTGCCGACAACCTGAACGAGTACGTCACGAGCGAGCGCTGCTTCCGGGAAGCGCGAGCATTGTACGACCACGTCGAGGGGCCACTGGACGCGGAAACGCTCATGCTGCAGTCGCTTGTCGCGTTTGCAATGGCGCACCAGGGCAAGCCCCAGTCCGAGTGGGAGCCGCTCTTCCGCGATACACTCGCTCTCGCCACCGAGCACCTCGGCGAGACGCACCCGTCTACGCTGGCCACGCGCAGTAACTTGGTCAAGTCACTGGGTCAGTTTGGCGACTTTGTGGCGGCATTGCCGCTGGCACTCGACGACTTTGAACGACGGCGGTCGCTGCATGGTCTCTACGATTACCGAACGGCCAACATCCTCTCGGAGATTGGCAAGATCTACGTTCATCTCGCCGAGCCCCGAATGGCCATGCGCTGGCTCCGCAAGGCGTTCAGCATTCGCGAAGCTCTCTTGGGGCACGAGCACGCATCGACGATGGCTACGCTCTCTCTCCTCGTTGTCGCGCTCATGTACATGGGGGCTGCCGTCGAAGCCGCAGCGCTGGCCAAGGACGTCGCCGCGTCCAGAGCTCGAACGCTTGGGGCCGAGCATCCAAACACCTTGGAATCGCGCTTGAACGAGGCCGCTTGCATGCTCATGACGGGGGACGCCGAGGCAGCAACGTCGGCGCTACTGTCGCTGCAGACATTGTATGAAGCGCGACACGACCTCGCTCCGTGGCTCCCGATTGGTACGACAACCATTTCCTTTTGGTCTAGGACACTAAGTCCATTCTTGTAGTCTACCACGATTTGGGCATTGCGTACGCGATGCTCGGCAAGACGGATCTGGCACGCGCGTATTACATCCGCAACTTTCAAAACGTACCGACCAAGTTCCATGCATGGTTGTTCTTTGACACCGTCCTTCGCTTCGCACCTGCGTCGGTGGCCGAGGACCTCGCCCTCGTCCGCGATTTTGTCGAGTCGACTGCCGATGACGCGCCCGAGTCGTGGCTCGAGAGCTGCGTGGTCTGCTACCGGCCGATTCTTGGTAGCACCGTTGCGTGTGCAGCCTGTCCGCATGACATTTACAAGTTTTGCACGCGGTGTCGGGACCAGCGGCCATCCCGACTGCGTCGATTTTGCCGGCACGACCCGCAAGCGACAAGCTGGCGAACCACGGTGCCGCCGCGTCGGTTTTTCTACGAAGCGGCGCTACGTTCAACGGCGAATGCCAACTATGACGATATTGAGCTGCTCTTCGCCGCCTACGAGACGTACTGCGGTACGCACAAGGTGCCCGCAAACGAACGCCTCGCACGGGCGTCGATTCCGAGTTTGAACCTTGGATGGCACCCCATGTAGTCCAATAACGTATATGTATATGGCAAGCGTTTGTGAGCTGGAGGAAGTGACGACATGGACTGCTGTGTATGATGACATCGGCGTGTCAATCCTGGACGAGGCCAAGGGGCGCTAATGCGTCCCTTTCTTCTACGAGCAAAGGACTGCAATGTGAAACGAGCCGCAGAATGCGACGCGGGGCGGACAACGACACTGAGACCCACTAAAACAAAGTATGGCGAGTCCCGTACTGCCTTAATCGAGTTTGCTCGTAAAGTAAGACGTAGATCAGGCAACAAGGCAACGCGGCCCATTGGACGTGAGGCAGGTCCCACACTGCGGGCTCAAGGAGGCCATCCGGATCCGAATAAAGATTCGCGACCATCACCATCACCAGCCAATCATTCTCCACTTTGGTCACGATGGGACTTATTCGCGCGCTATTTCGACACGCCCGTCACTTGTGGATACAGAGCGCATGAACAACTACCACCAATCACTGCAGTCGCTCCAAGGAGACGCTACCATCGAGGCCAAACCACAACTGTCATTTTGCAGTAAACGGTCTACACACCGTTGCATCCACATATTTCGTTGCATTTTGATTTCCCTCCTCAAAACCTCATTTGATAGAGACAAGAACTATATTCGTCCAGCGCCCACGACACTGTACAGCAACAATCGCCCGTTTTGCTACCAATGTTGCACCGACCAACATGCAAGGCGTATATGGCAGGCCTTGTTACGTTGATGACTAGCTAAAGCATCGCGTGCCAGCCGCGGTTCAGCGTCAAAACCAACGTCCGAAGCCGGCGCTCCTGGATCGGAACTTGTACGTCTCGCAGTAGGACTCGTACGCACCAAAGCGCTCGTCAACGTCGGCGTACGGTGTAGAGTCCGTCGTGAGGTTCGCAAAAGAAGCGACGCGGCGGTCCTCGTCCATCTTGTCTCGATCGGGTCGCGGCGGCAAAACCGCATCAACGACAATTTGTACAAAACTTGAAGACATCCCGAGGACACGCTTCGCATGCGACGAGGCACGTGGGACCGGAACCCGTCGACCAGGAGCTCAAAGATACCGAAAAGCAAGTGTCGATCGGCGACTTGTCCGCGCTGGTGTCTCGACGGTGATGTCCTCGTATCCGGGTTGGTCGCCGCCGCTAGAACAGGCATGCACTGCAGTCAAGGAGATCGAGACGCAGGTCGAAAAAGAGAAAAGGTGATCAAGACGCAGACTACGACCTTGAGTCGAAAAAGGGAAAAGCCACAATGCATTCTTGAGGCAGTTTCTTATACAATCACATTGGTAGTAAAACGTAGGACACATGGCGGTTAGGGCTTGCCGTAGTACGTTGTGTTGAGGTACACCATTTTTTGGAACTCGGCCGGGCAGTACGGGAAGAGGATCGTCGGGTCCGCGATCGTCGGCGCAAACAGCTTCTTGCCCGTGCTGATCGAGACGTAAATCGCCAGCGCCGACGTAAAGATGATGACAAAGATGCTCCAGCTCTTCTCGAGGAGACCCATGTCCTTGTAGAAGACCTTGAGGTGGAACCACACCGGGAGGATCATGCAGCCAAGCGCGGCCGACGACGCACCGACAAAGTCAAGCAAATCCAAAAAGTGGTTTTGCCACACGATCGCAATGATCGTACTGATCGTGATCTGGACGAGACGCATCGTGCACGCCTTGAGGTAGTCGCGCGACGATGCGTACACTGCAACGGGCGCGTCGACCTTGGATACAACCGCAGACGTCGTCGTCTCCTCCTTGGGCGTCTCGTTCTCGATGTACGCCGGCGCCTCACCCGTCTCGAGGGTAAAGTTTTGCTTGTGGAAGCCAAAGAGGACGCGCTCAAAAATGTAAAATGTCGGGAAGAGATCGATCGCAAAGACGACGCTGATGTGCAAATGCATCATGAGGAACGCAATCACAATGGCGCCGCGGGGGGCGACAAACCCGAGCTTCGTGCCCGCAATTGAGAAGAGGAGGTTGCCCGGAATCTGGCACCCGACGTTGTGGTCGCCGATGAGCGACACCATAAAGAAGAGCACCGTGCACGCACTGAGCGTGAGAAGAATCACGCGCGGCATGCGCTCCGGTTGCGTATGTTCGCGCTGAAGGGCCGGGACAAGGACGCCGGCCGCGTACCCGAGCGAGAGGTTGCCAAAGACGGACGTGACGCCGTCAAACGAGAGGGCCGGCGTGGGCGCTGAGAGGCCTTCGGGAATGTCCGACATGTTGTCGAGGAGCACGTAGAGCGCAACGGCGTCGGCAATGATCGTACCGAGCGCGCCGGCCGTCGCCGCACCGGCACTTTCCTTGAGCGATGGCATCATACAGATCGGGACGAGGCTGAGCGCCATGAGAATGATCCAAACGGTCGTTGTAAACGTATCGGGAAAGAGCACTTGAAGGAGCGAGCCGCCGAGGACAAGGAAGGCAATCGGGTTCAAGCAGCACACGAGAAGCTGGGAAAGCGTCGTGATGAAGCGGCCAAAGCGACCGTCGACCCACTCGCCAATGTCGCCGTACGTCTTGACATACTTGGGCGCGGCCAGCATGACCTTGGAGAGCGCGACGGTTGCGTAGAGGTTGATGGCCGCCATGAGCACGAGGGCACCGGTGGCCCAGTAGTAGCCGGCGCGGGCATAGTTGGCCGGCATGCCGAGGGTCCCAACGCCGTACACGACGCAGAACAAGTTGAATGAGATCTTGATATCCTCGAGAGTCAAGAACGCCATGGCGAGTGTGGTGCAGACAAGCGAAAAATAAAAGTGAGACTGCAAGCCGTGGGTCGCGTGACGTGGTTGAAGTGACCATCCGCACACTGTTGCACTTGGTTTGATGGGACAGCGAATTGAAGCACAATCCTTGCCGCAATGACCGTGCACCCTTGCAGTCGAGTTGAAAACGAGATTTGTCACTGAAGCGCCTGTCGGGTGACAAAGAGAAATGCGCGCGTCTCATTGGCCATCCTCCCTTCCACGAGCGCGAACCCAGTTGACGGATCCCCAAAGTGAGATAGTTCAGCCGTTACATGTCCACAGAAACCCACATATTTTTCGATTGCATGGATACTTATCCATGATGAGCCACAAAGGAGCCACGTTTATGGACAGGATGTCGATTCGGCGGCTTATGCCGGCAAAGGTGCCGTTCACCTTTTAAACACATGTTGGGTACAAATGGCGCGCCACGGCGGCCGCTGTGCACATACTGTTGCCCTTTGAATGGATGGTAAATCGGTCCAATGACTTGACCACATTCGCCGAGACGACTTGTTTGGGTAGATGCGTGGATGGCATCCTATTCGTGGGTAGCATTGCGTCAACTTGAAGATAACATTGCCGTTGGCCACCTGCAACCTAGGTACTGGCCAAGTACACCGCGACCCAATATGGTAGTCGGTCGTTTACAAACCTGCATCGATCAATGCGCGGCTTGTGAGTCGTGACTTCGGGAACGTTCTGCAGCCAAACTAGCTGGAGGTGCAGATATCTTTTGGCAAAATGCCATTAGATTGGGAATGTCTAGTTATATGGCACAGGCGTATAAAGAAAGAGAGGGAAAAGATCGTGGAATTCATTTTATTACATTTTTTTTCCAAATCGTGCAAGGCGACTGGGTCATGGCCGTGATGACGACGCTTAGGTGGCACCTGACTGTCGTGTTTCATTGGCAGGGAGTCTTATGGCTCAACCAATCAGAAGACAGAGCTGACCAATCAGAAGGCAGCATTAAGGAAACGGCAACGCATCTGATTGGACAAGATGCTGGGAGGCTGCTGGACGGGATATCCGGCAGGCTGTTGGACTCATCCGGACATGCTGTTGGAGTCGAGCCCCCTGCCGGATGACAGCATCTTGCACCTGGCAGTCAAAAGGTAATTGTGTGGTTGAGGATCACGCGAGCCACGGTGCCTTCCACGGCGCCGTGTCCAGAGTGACGCTGCGTCAAGAAGGGCAGCGGCAGCCGTACCATGGCGCCGTCGTGTGTGTTGTTACTGGTATGTAGTGTCAAGTACTGTCATCTTTTCATCCTCTTGGCGCGCTTTTGGAACGAGTACGAGCAGCACAGTGGTAGAAGCAGCACCGAAGGCTCTCCCTATTGGAGCCTTCTGCGCTCTGGTGTATATGGCTACCTCGCGAGCCCTGTAGGCGCACGTCAACAGGTCATACCGCGCGCGGCCTCACCGGCACAGTGCTCTGGGTCGTTCGCGCAGTCCAGCGCTCGCACGAAGACCCTACGATCGCGTTTCGCGGTTGGCACGTTCTCGAAATCGACCACTAGTGCTTCAAGCTGCGGCTGCGATAACGCACAAATTCACGACTTGTTGATTAAGGGTCTCGCCTTAATTGCACGCTATGCGCTTGCGCTTCAGAGGCACCTACGCAGGCTCGGCAAAGGGTTCGCCTTGGCCATGACGTGATGGGACCAACAGCCATCAGCGTGTCCAAGGACGTTTCGACGGCAGTCGCTGTCGCGTGCACCCCGCTCAGGCTGCGCTGGCCTCCGTAGTCGGTAGTCGCGTGCTCCGGTGGTGTCTACGGACGCGATAGCGCGTGACATCTTGGCAGCGTCGCGCGGCGGCGCGTCCTTCCTTGGATGCACGTGGCGCAGCGTCATTGATGGCACGGACAGACCGGACGGTCGTACGTCCTCGGTAGCGTACACAAGCGCTAGGAGCTTGGCTGCACTGGCAGGAAGGTGGTCAAGCGTGGCGGACGCACTCTTGAGCCTAGGTCGCGCCGGCAGCGACAGTTGCGGCGATCGCAGCGAGAGGCCATGGCCTTGCGTCCTGCGTCGCACGGCGTGGCGTCGGAGCTTCGGGTGCGCGGGGCGGAGGATACCCGGTGAGGTG